TGCACCGTATACCCTCCCCCCCGCTCGACAGCTCGATCAGAGGAGAGAACTAGGGGGGGGGGGGCGTATCACGCCACCTTTCATGAGGATTGTTCGGACGTGACCAAAATCCCAAACTAATGATGTGCCCTGTTCCAGACACTCCCGATCGGTCTATTTTTGCTCTTAGCTGGGCAGAGTCTGATGGGCTGTGGTTGTAATCAGCAAAGGTATCAGTTAGGAGTCGAGTTCACTTCCATAGACGCGGAAGCTACCGGTAAAGAGCTTGCTGCGACTGTGCATGCAAAACCGCTTGTCAATTGATTTTGCTACCATACATGACAACTGAAAACCTCACCGTTTCCATATGCAGCTCCTTGGCCAACACTCCCAATTCTCGCCATAGCAGTCGACCGTAGCCTTTACGACGAAATTGTGGACGCACGTAGATATCCTCCATATGGATATATTGTCCTTCCCATGTAGAGTACGCATAGTAAAATAGAAGAATCGCCGCCGGTTCATCGCCTTCACGCAGTACGAAACCATCGACGGCTTTCTTTTCGAGATCAGCTGCCAATCGCACCTCATCAATCTAAATTCAGAAGTTGCTCGAAGGCTGTCAACAAAAACACAAATGAAGAACTTTCCACACAGTTTCTAAATGCTTCTATACGGGAAGCATTCAGTTTGGGCATTTGTGGCTGCCATACTGAATCATCGTCTAATGTCTTGAAAACATGTTCCGCCACAGTACTTCGTAGGCAGTGGGGTTCAGAAGCAGAAGTTTAATTGCTAGCTGGTTTACAGGCAAAAAAAAGCAGGAAAATTGCCCTTGAGTAAGACCCTCCTTTTTAAAGTTGATCGAGAGTCACTGGGCGAGCACAAGGTGGTTTAGATCGGATGCAATACGCTAAAGGCCATGGTACACTGAAAGCACGACCAGTGTGGAAAGTAGAACGCGCGCCTCGAAGCAATTAGTAAACTGACTTCCGGGGACCGTAGTTTCCATGTGCGAGATGAATGAGCCTCGTAGCTGCAGTGGTGTGCCAGGTTATTTACTCAAAAGTGCACGGGACTAAGATGCCGCCTCCATACCGCCATCCCGCGCCATCATGAGTGTGCGGTACTTCTCGATACAAGATCCCGTAGCGAAACACTTACTCAGCGTTCAAGAATATAGGAGGGAGAGACCGCAGTCAATTAGGCGCGTTGGCTATGGTTAGGCATAGTGTGGCTGGTTCGTGCGGGCAGCGGCGACGGAGCGGAGGGATGATAAGACGGACGCCCGGGGTACAGTGCGCCTCCCAGCCCCGTTCCCGAGCACTTTTAAGGAGAGAACGTGGAAACTGGAGCTGCGGACCCATTCTCCGCACACACGGCAAGGGACAGGATCCACAAAGCCGAGTTTACAATTTGTCTCAATGAGGGTACTTGTGGCCGGCATTGGGTCCTATTGAGTGACTAAGGCTCTAACACTTAAGCTTAGACGGAGCACTTCCGACTGAAACTCTCTTGAGACTGGTCCGAATCTAGTAATCCTCTGCCAGTCGCGGATGACACCTAGCTACATCAAGAGGTCGCTAGCGTTCAATTTATCGGGCAGCCAATGCCCTCTAAACGCAGCCAAAGTAGTGTACTATTGTAATACTGGACACACCATTTTTGACGTAGCTGGGACCCATGTACTGATTAGAAAACTACTTCATGAACTCCGGAATTTGTCTCTCTGATACATTACCGCTTTCCAATATTTTGTGGTTGATGCAAAAGAAGCGAAAAACGAAAATATTATGAAAAAAACATCGGCAGTAGTACAACGACTTCGGTCGCTGACATGTCCCTGCAAATGGGTTTATGACCTTGGCTGAGACGCCCATGCAGCTCCAGACCGGAGAAAAACTGAGTGATTCCCGATGAGCTGTGAATCCAATAAAAGGAGCTCACTTTCGAGTGGTCTCAGCTGTTATGCCCTCGGTATGTACAAATGTTTTCTGTATTACAAGGTCACTAAATTTATTACAAGAATGCTGAGTTATGGGCAAAAGTCGTGCCCCAGGCGGGAGTCAAACCCGCACCTCACGCTTTCCGGGCGAGTGCGCTATCCGTTACGCCACCAGGGCCTATTTCACCCTCTCAGCTTACGGCTTATGCCGTAGCCTTACAGCACTCACACGTTTAACTTGGTGAGTCGGTCAGCCGTAATCGTTAGATATCGGCATGGAACCGCGAGGCCGAAGGACTTTACATAGTTTTTGAAATTCAATTCAACCAAATTTATTCTTTTCATTAGCTCCACCTTGACAGATTCGGCATTCTTTTTCAACTCGTGGCAAAGCTCCCTGAAGCGCAATCGCATCAGGACTGGCGCATCTCCGGACGTGGCAAGGAGTCAGCCGACACTGCCATCGCTAAATTAGAAGGCGATGGGCAGTTCCATGCACATGTGTGGTAACTTGTATGTATTACAGATTGCAGGACGAAGTTCGTTTTAGGGAGAGCACTTGTGTAGACCCCTACTGGGCCATGACTCAATCAACTCATGGGCTAGGGAATGATACCTTTTCAATTTCTTAGGTGCACGTAACCGGGGCAGTTGATTAAATGTGTGCTCTATCGAAACTGATTGGATAACTAATTTAATAAAAAAAGTTATATCTTGCGTATTAATGTCAGTTAGCCACGAAAGTATTCGAGAAAATTAGCCTTCTAACCCGCTCCTTAAAGGTTAACTGGCGGGGCTCTTTTCAGTTGTTAAGCAGTAGAACAGCTGTGTTTAGCCCATCAAGCCAAGCTGAAAAAAACGAAGCCTTAAGTGGAAACTGAGCTCGCAGAAAGCGGATTTAGTCTGACTGTTCTATTCTTTTTTAGGAAATGGCATATTGTGATTTTGTTTTTGGAATGCGAGCAATACGACGAACAACAAACAAGAAATAATCAAGAAATAAGAACTAAAATGCACTAGCTCTTCTCAGCGGTAACTTTCTGCGGCACTCATAAAAAATGTCACCATGAAAAATTCCAAAGATAACAAAATCACGGACCGATAACACCATCTAAAACCATGAGGTCACAGCGCACTGACCAACTCGCCGTGGCCTCCCAGCTAGAGACATGCATTCCTGAACGCTGCTGGTCCCAAATTCAACTTTCGATTCTGCCAAGCTTTCTTGAAATGAAGTTACGAACTGATTTTCATGCAGGTGCTATACAAAACATCGAGTTCGAAGCGCATGCAGGGGTGTACAGCTAATTTTTAATGACCATATTGAGTTGATATCCTCTCTTTGTGAGCCTCTTATTTTCTGCCGGTCAATCGATAGCATGTACCGGAGAGTGAGTGGGTGTGGCTGCGTACTTTACTTGGGTGTAGCGCTGCTGTGCATTTAGTGGAACTTTGCCCTTTTGGAACAATTGTTGTCATGTCTCTGTCCTCCTCTACGACAGCTTCTGAGAAAATGCAGAAATTCGCAGCGCGTGCCCCATCGTTTAAAAATGGGTAAGAAGAGGCACCCAGTACTTGAGCAATACTTGTTAGGCTTCTCATTTATTTTGATTCTGTACACGATGTTTAGGACGTGCAGATTTCTGCGAAGAAGTCAATAAATCCCTGGAGCTCGTTTGCCTCATCAACGGTATTACGGCATATCAAACACTGGAGCAGCATCATTTTCTCCTTTTCACTTGCTCCGAATGCTCTCCGCTATACCACGAAAATCGCTCAGCATGTGCTATCACAATAGGTTTCTACCTCTTCAAAGCGGAGCAATGGTACGTAGTGAACCTCAGCAAGCACACTGTTCGAAGATCAATTCCAGGCCCGCACCTAGCAACCATAACGCAAGCATTTTATTCCACCAAG